TATGAAAATACTATACAAGTTGGAAATTTCTTTTGTTTCAAAACGTCAAGAATTTCCTTGTAAATCGTTGACCGAAATGGATAATTAGTTCCTTACCGAATTTATGGGGGTTTTGGACTGCTTCTTGAATGATGCTATAGATGTCTATAAAGGAAGCTTTGATCCCAAATAATCTTTTTAGAGTTTGTAACTCTCTTTTGAGTTTCAAATTGAAAGAGAAAGCAACTTTGTTCAAATCATCGTCGCACTTGGTTTCATCATCTCGAATGGTTCTAATAAGTGGTTCACACCCAAGAGGAGGAACTCCAACCACTGCTAATCTTCTTGCTCCTACACCATGAATTAAATCCTGCCAAAGTTCTTCACATCATCAATTTATATTATTTAAGTCTATAATCATGAAACACTGTAACTTTGCTCGGCCAACTCTTTCATAAATTTTACCTAGAACTATACAAAAAGACATGCATCCCTAAGTAGAAACAGGAGAAATTTAAAAAATAGAGAGAATAATAATATTTGATTCGATCTTAAACTTATAATACATGCTTTTAGCGAAAAAATAGGTTGTATAATATGTGCTCTAGCAGTTAATGAAAAGGGTGAAAATCTATGGAAAACCAGGTTCAAATTCTAATAAAGTTAAAATAGTCGGGCAAGTTAGCGATCATCATCGTTGTTAAAACAAAGAGGAGAGAATGAGGACCTTGACGTGAGTAAACATGGAATGGATCAAGAAGTTCTGGTATTGTTCCACCGAGTATTGCTTTGAACGTACAACTTCCACAAAGTAATTTTGGAGGAAGTCATTAGTGCCCATACTTAGTATATATAATGCATTTTTCATGACTTCACTTGCTTTCTCAGCTCCCACCATTTGCCTCAACTGGATTTCATAGTGCCTGAGATACTCCCTTTGCTTGGCTAGTGACATTGCATTCTGATTTTATCAGAAAAAAAACATTTAAAGGCAAAAAGTTAATCCAAAAAAATAAACTGAATTACAAAATTAAGGACCAAGCTGGACTTTGGAAATAGTGAAATAAAGATGTAACTAGGAGAACATACAGACAAATTGGCAGTGAGATCATCATAACCAGAGCCAGCTGATGCAAAACTAATGCCATGTAGCATATCCATGTTGTTGATTTGTGGGTCTAGAAACCCTCTTGTCATGTTCACGTAACCAAGTGCCTCCGCTGCAATACGAACATTTTACTTCAAATTAGAGGCTCTTTGACTTTGTTTTATTTAATTTTCCTGTGGGGGAAAGGGAGTTGGAGAATTAGTAAACTAGCATGGCTCAGATCCATGATACCATACATGGTTGCATTTGGCTCATGTGCAGTTAGCTACTTCAAGTCTTCTAAAAGCAAGAAGATAGGAAGAAGTGGTAACAAGAACTTTTTTTTAATCATATCATATTCAACGTAACTGTCAATTTGTTACATAGGGGCGGATTTACCCTCGTTGAAGCTGTGTTATCGCCAAATCTTTTTATTAAATATATATAAATAATATGCAAAAGAAATAGAAGTACAAGTAAAATAAAATGACATAACTTAGTCAAAGCAAGATAGTTAGTTCACTAATAAATCAACAATATAATTACATTATTGATGTCAGAGATCATGATAAAAGTTTTTAAGGTCTTAGGAAAATTTGGTAATCTTTCCATAAAACTAGTGGAGACAAAGAAGCATGTGACTTATCCTCTTGTTTTTCAATTTGTGAAATTTACTTTACTTTTGCCAATTGCTACTGCTACAGTTGAGAGAGCTTTTTCGGCAATGAAGTTGATAAGACCGATTTGCAAAGTCGAATGGATGATGAGTATTTCAGTAGCTATTTGATGCCTTACATAGAAAAGGATGTATTTAGTCTTATTCCTAATGAGGTTGTTATGAATACCTTCCAAAATATGAAAACTCATCGAGGAGAGTTATAGTAAGGTACTTTTAAAAAAAAATGATGTCGTTACTATATTTGTTTTTTTGTCTACTTCTTTAAATATTGACACAACTTATGAAAAATCCTGTGTACGCTCTTGGTTACATATATAATACTATTGTGATGAAACTGAAAACAGATCACAAAGCTTAGAAACTAATCCACTAAAGGCATGGATTACTAATAGGCAGGATCATTTTTAAGGAAGAAGGCCAAATTTGTCCCCCTTCTTTTAATTGTGTTTTAAAATTACCCTCTTTTGTATATTCCGGTCATAAATACCCATATTATTAGCGAATAGTCTCGTGCATGACCCTAACGAGTGGACTTGAAACCTTTGAACTCGGTTAAACTTTTCACAGAGTAAATTCCATGTGTCACAATACTTTCCAAATTTGTACTTCTACTTTTAACTATATTTTAAAATTATCTTAGCCCGGTTGCTATATATGTATTTTCCAAATTAAACAAATGGCCAAGCATCAACAGTTACTAGTCAAACATATACAACCAGAAAACAACATAACTTGTAAAATTATTTAGAGTATTTATTTATTCTGTATCTTTTATATTACTCTAACTAAGAAGTAGTAGCAAGGAAAAGAAGAGACCGAGAGTCACCAATGAAGTCAGTGGCAAGTTTGCCATTAGAGAACCTGCCAGTAGGTTGAGAATTGGAAAGGTCCAAACCATAAGGCAAGTAATTGGCCTTGTTTAGAGTAGAAAGATGGTTGTTATTTCCAGGATCTACACTTGAATCTCCGAACACCAAGATACATGACACATTGTTCTTCGCTGCCAGTTTCCTCAGCTCACCTATTTCTATGGCTTCTAATACAGCATTATGATGAAAAAGCACCAGTACCAGAAATATAAGAATCAACCTCAGTGACATTTTGACACACTTCATTTCATTCAAACGAAAAAGAAGAAGAAAATACTGAGTATATATATAAGCTTAGCTTGCTGTTTCGGAATAGTACTGTGGCAAAGTGAACTCTGTCTGTGTCTTAAATAGTGTAAAGGGACTTTAATATTGTTAGGTCAACAAGCAGCGGCCAATTATGCGGTGGCAGAGATAAGAAATTGAAGTCAGTAAGACGTTTGTGTGAATCTTTTGGCAAAGTAATTCTACTAGTTAATTTTACACTCTAGTCACTAGATATCCACTATAATTGTAGGGGGAAATTTTAAAGACCTTGTAATAATGCTAACTATTATTTTAACTACGTTAAGATCTTGCGTTAGTTGATTAAATTTAAGACGTTAATATTAAAATGGGACATACTTCATCCGTCCCAATAAAAACTTAGGAAGATTGAGATAATAGGAAATATTGTGAAAAGCCACATCCATAATACTTTTTTTTTTTTTTTGGGTAAAAACATCCATAACATTGTGATTGAAATTTTAAGTTGCTTTCATTGCATTTCTTTATCAGCTTACTTTTAAGTAGGCTAATCCGCGCCCTGGTTTTCAAATTCTCACGTGGCAGCCTAGAAGATTTAGACATATCGAATTGGTTTCTAGTCAGCCTGTCATTCACAGCAAATTCCGTTATCTGAAAACTATTTTTTGTATTTCAATATTTATCCTTGTTAATACTATATATTTCAAGAATGCAGAATCCCCATTTTACACCTTGAACTAATATTTTTCCCTATGAAACTATAGAAAGAAGGAATTGATTAATGATCTCCCGTCGTACAATCTCTATATATCAAAGTTATTGACAAACATATCATACAGTTGTAGCCGTACGCACATTAATTTTTCAGCCAACCTTGAACGGCATCAATGGGTCCTAACTCCTAACTCGTAATTATAGTGCATGTACAACAAAAGAGAAATAGTTTGAATTGGCCATGGGTCAAAGTGCAAGCAAATAATTCAGATTTTCTTAACATTGGCGGTTGCAGATTTTTCAATTATCATTGACCATTATAAACTCAAGAGTCGTACCAGTAGTTGTGAAGTCTAGCTACATCATCAATCTATCCGTCCATTTGCTAATCCAACAAAAAAAAAAACATTTTCAAAATCCTTTTGCGAAGAGTTCACATACATAATTTATCTTTCTTTGCCTTCTATTATTCCAAATTTCCCACTAATTTCTTTGACTATATGCTACAAAATTTTATATCCACTGTTAGTAGAAAACTCTGGACATAATTTAATTTGTTGCTGCCTAACTAATATATATTCACGAAATTGACCTGAAAAGCTGCAAATTGAAATCGAGAACTAGAAAAGTGACACGTCTTCATGTCATATAGTAACAATATATATCTGTAATCAATAGGACGGTAGGCAATTAAAAGCTTGAGAAAGTAGGTAAAATTCAAGTTCTAGTTGATGATTAATCATAGCATACATTTGGGCAAACTGAGTGGGTAAGCTAGCCAAGCCCAAGTACGTTTCATACTCCAATCAAACATAAATGAAACATCAACTGCTACTCCATGAATCTCTCAAAGAAAGGCTTTCGATGTCAATGTGGATGCTTTTAATAGAGCAACATATGATGTTTTAATTTTGTCTACTACATTAGGTACTATAATTTTAATTAATGTATCTCTCATTCTACTCCAATTGTAAATATCATATGTAGGGATCCAAAACTAAATTTGTGGATGTACGCTTCAGTAATGGATTTATTACACCTTTCCCGATCATTAGCTAAACGATTTGGATGTCTAATTTAAGTTAGAAAAAATGGACGATGAAGTGTTTATTTCAGATTTGGAAAATGGAATATGAACGAGGAAATATTTGGGTTCTCACGAAATGAATAAGGACGATGAAATGTCTCTTATTGCTAGTCGTAAAGTAATATCCATGCTTTTTTATGACCTAGACCTTCTTTAAGCATTTAATTAATCTAATTATGTTAACTAAGTATTTCTCCAACGAATCCGTTGTAGTCTAGTCGGTTAGGATATTCGGCTCTCACCCGAAAGACCCGGGTTCAATTCCCGGCAACGGAATTTTGAAAATTTTAAATTCTATAATTCTGTTTTCTCGCTGACAAAGCCAATGAAATCAAATGATTATAGCACCCGAATCACAGTGGCGGGAAAAAAACCAGGAGTGAGTGAGTCAACTCGTTACTTCTAGGGTTTTTGAGAAAACGAAAAAATCAGAGAGAAAATCGAAGGGAGAATGGAAAAGCGAAAGAGCGGAGGAAGGAATAATGGAGGAATTGAGGAGAACACAATGGCAATTCTCGATACTTCTGGTTTCAACCGATACTCTCACCACCGTCTTGACGATAGTACGCCCTTTCGTTTTTCTTATATCTTTCATTTGTTCATCCGTTTATTTTTTCTTCGATTCTAATTGTTGATACTTTTGTAGGGCTTGCTTTTCTGGAAGCTGTTCGCTCTGCTTCGTTACTTCCTGATAATGGAACTCCGCCTACTAGGTAGGTAATTTTTTCTCCCTTTCTGTTTTGTCATTTTTTTCCTGTTTGTATTATAGTATATAGTAGGACTAGTCTTTTTAAGTTCTTAATCTGAAATTTGAGATGTTATGATTCCTATCATCTAATTAATGTGTATACTGGAACAGCACGATGTGGCAGGCAATTTTCCAAATTTTGAAGGAAGAGACTTCCCTTGAACTAATAATGGGAAGTTATCAACTTCTAAATGAGTTGGATAAGGTACACGCTAGCTTTATTCATCACGTTTTATGTTTTAAGTTTAAAAGAGCACTATACTTGCATTAGGTAGGCTGCATACATCACACCCTAAGGGTGGCGGCCCTTTCCCAGACCATGCATGAATGTGGGATGTTTCATGTACTAAGCTGCCCTTTTCTTTTATTACCGCATTTGACATGTTTACTTGTATGGAATTTCTTGTGAAAATAGCGCTTTCCTAGGTTGTGCTTGCCCGAAATGGAGAAGTCAGAATCATGTCTGCCACCAACCATTTCGAATGAACCTGTTGTGGCTGAAGAGGTATCTCCATCCTCTCATAGTTGACGACTCCGCGGTTCCTAGACAGAGTTGTTTTGTCAATAGTAATGATTGGGATACTCTATTTCAGGCCTGGTGTCCATTTACTCTTGGGTTGGATAGGGATGATGAAATAAATAAAGGTTCGAGTGGATCAATTGACTCCGTGGTGAGCCAGATCTTATGTAATTGGCTATATCACACATTCACATCAATTTCTTATGTGTGTTCTCCTTTTCTACTGAATCTTGTTATTCTTCTCACCTGTATCTTGGTGATGGTAATCTTTCTGGTGATTTTAGGGCTTTCATTCACTGATACAAGAGCTTGGGAAAATAGTCAACCAGAAATCAAAAGTTTTAGAAACAGAGGTCGGTACCACATTGAAGCTCTCTTTCCATTTCCGTGACTTGTAATATATATGTTCTCCTTTTATTATCATATAGCTTGTGAGTTCAGATGCCAGTAGTAATTGCAATTTCAGCTATACTTAGTCCGGTTGCCGGGTTCTTTTCACATTTTTCTTGATTTATGAGCATATATTGCATTTCCTTGAGCATATAAGAAGTATATAAGTTATTATTTCTTTTTCACATTTTTCCATTGAAGCAGTATCTCATGCTGAGCATGTATCAATTAACCAAGTGCTAGTACAGTTAGCTTCTGACCACGCTTTTTCACCAATAGTGTGTAGTTTTGTATTGAGCTTTTAGTTTAGATATATAGTTATGTCGAATTCCTTTGTGGCCATACATTTAGTTGAACATGCCTTTCTGACAATCTTGACTAATAAGATAATTTCACGGGCCAATTTTGTACTTATTTCTTTTAGATTAATAATATAATTCTCAGGTCAAAGTTGTACTTAAATCTTTTGTCAGCCATTTAGTTCATCAATTTGTGTGTAGTGTCATCATTGAAGAATTACCCTGTCTTTCACCTTTCATCAGATAGTCTGACAAGATCAATTGCAGATTTTAAGGAAGATGTTACTACTTCACTACCTTGTCAGTGTGCTTGAAGCAGACTTTGTGCCTCGTAATTATGCATTTAAAGGTAATGATTTTCAGAGGATTCTAATTCTAATGAAGTGTTATGCACCTTAAGAAATCTTCTTGAAATGTTAAGAGGTTCATCTTGCAGAGAAGATGAGGTGGACCCTTTTGCGGGATTCATTGCTCAACATGCTTCTGGTATATTTTTCGTTTTCAAATGTTACCATTATTTATTTGTCTGTGATATTGCTAATTAGAAGTGTTAGCTTACTGAGGTATGCATTGGATGCCATTACTTATTTGTCTTCTGCTCATTGTTCAGGGGTCAAGAAAAATAATCTACAAAGGCTTAGTCAAGGACTGCCTGTTGGTTATATGTGATGTATTCTCTGATTTATCTGACCAAACTGAGTCCACCTCTGATCTGGATTCAGTGGCACCTCCCTTGAAGGAGATATCATATATTGACACTTCTGCTTTTGCACTAGCTTTACCTGAACTCAAACGATCTACTTGCTTCTATCTGAAGAAGCTCCTCATAATGGTGAATTCTTGTGCATTCTATTCCTTAAAATATGTATTTGACCAATTCTAACTGTGACTTGTTTCACAATTAGATGTTGGAGCTGGATACATCACGGGATGTGGCTGATGTTCAAGGTCTTACCACCAGAGCTGATGGTGTGAGGTATTTCCTTCAATAAATTATTTTACTTTAAATAAAGCCATCAGATTAAGAAATATAATTGATATCGGAGATGGTGCAGAACACCTGCTGCAGAGATCATTTTGGATGAGCTTGCTTACAATTCTGACACGCTCTCCCCCTTTTTTCAGGTAATGTCCTTCTTTCCTCTTTTAGTAGGACAATGAGATTATACTTTATGTCTTTATTGGGAAGATAATAACATTTTCTCTACATGGTTCCTGGACATCTTATATCACAAATGTGCAATCAGACTTTGAGCATTTGTTACATGTTTCTTTGTCATTCTAATATAACCTTGGTTGTCAAGGAGAACGTTACCTAAATGATGAAATAAATTTCTACAGGTCTTTGATGACCCCAGGTGGAAGCTAAAAATGATCATGCCGTATTTTCAGAAGTACATTCCTAAGGTAAATGGATTCTTCTGTCATCACGAGAGATCTTAACAAATGTAAAAACAGATACTGAAAGTATCTCCACTTAATTCACCTGGTAGGAATTATGTAGTGGAAGGTAGGCTAGATACAAGACTTGGGGCATTGTTTTAGTCTATCGAATTTTGTGTCATTATGAAGCTTCGTATTTTGTTATTGGCATTCTGTTGTTATTGTTGCTTTGTTTTGTTTGCTTTCGTCTTTGGAGTCTTTATAACTTTTTGGTGATAGGATATATGTAATATGTTGGGATGTTAGACAATATGCTCTTGATACATACCTCCTTTTCTGCTTTCAAAAATACTTCTTCGAACCTTTTCTACCAACTTCTTCTACCCTGCCAACCTTTCCGCTTTTTTGATTACTGGGTTCATGCTGCGATCTTTATGTGGCGCTTCTAATGGCAGGCTTATGCTGTATTTTCAGAAGTACGTTCCTAAGGTAAATGGATTCTTCTATCATCACGAGAGATCTTAACAAATGTAAAAACAGACACTGGAAGTATCTCCACTTAATTCACCTGGTAGGAATTATGTAGTGGAAGGTAGGCTAGATACAAGAATTGGGACGCTGTTTTAGTCTATCGAATTTAGTTTCATTATGAAGCTTCGTATTTTGTTATTGGCATTCTGTTGTTATTGTTGCTCTGTTTTGTTTGCTTTTGCCTTTAGAGTCTTTATAACTTTTTGGTGATAGGATACATGTAATATGTTGGGATGTTAGACAATATGCTCTTGATACATACCTCCTTTTCTGCTTTTGAAAATACTTCTTTTAACCTTTTCTAACAACTTCTTCTATCCTGCCAACCTTTCCGCTTTTTTGATTACTGGTTTCATGCTGCGATCTTTGTGTGGCGCTTCTAATGGCAGGCTTATGTCATACAAAGTGTCCTACCCTGCAATTGAACAGTTATGCTATTTGTTCAATGCTATCCAGCTATTCCACCGGGATAATCCACACTTCTTTAAATTAATCCGCTGTTGGAAAAGCTTAAAAAAAAGGGTTCTCTTTCTCCATCTTGTAGGACATTTTGCATGTTTTCATGAGATGAGGACGTGATCATATTTTGATTCTTGCTGCAGCATAAAGTCAATTTCTAGTGACTTGGTACTTGTACATGTTCGAATGACAGTTGAGATTTGTCTGTAGTGACATTTTTCTGGATGCTATCTAGATGTTCTCAGTCCTATTTTTGTTGCACAGCATGACACATTCAGTTTTAAGGCAAGAAGTACACTCTTTTATATATAAATACAGGGATGAGTTATTAGTTTATTTGTTAAGACAGTATGTTCGCTAGATGTCCAAGCCGCCATGTCAAAGACTCATAACCTTATTTGAGAAGTCCTTGGACTCTGTAGATATTGACCGTGGAACTTTTTATTACAGGCATTAGCATATAGAAGATGACCCATTTCTCATTCTAACATTCCTTATACTTCCTGTGAGAATGCATAAGAGAAAAACCTATTTATTAACAATGATACAATGAGCCCTATATATAATACATATTCTACTTCTACTATATATGGGACTAGGACATATTCTACTCCTATTGCATATGGGACAATGACACATTCTACCCCTACTACATATGAGACTAGGACTATTTATACATAACTATCTAACACTCTCCTTCAAGCTGGTGCATACAAATCATATGTACCGAGCTTGTTACATATATAACCAATACGAGGACCAGCGAGGGACTTGGTGAAAATATCTGTAAATTGATCATTCGACATACAATGCCACTAGACTCCCCCTAAGCAACAAAACCAGGTGGTTGCTGATAAACAGAAGTTGGTCGAAAGGTCACTGGAAAAATTTGAAAATAGTGAGACTAAGCCTAATTCCACACTACAAAATAGGTTCTAAAACATCACCAGAAAACAAAAACTTACTGTTGACACCGGGAAATCACTGTTCATGCCGGAAAAAGTGCACTGTTCACCGCCGGAAAAATTAAAGTTGTCAGAATTTGATGTTATTTATATGTGTAGGCTCGGAATCACTGGACGAGTAAGTTGTCCTGAAGAAGTTTTGTCAAAAAGTGACCGGAATGGCTCACACGCGCTGGAAAAGTTGCTGTTGCTTGCTGGAAAATTCCAAATTCTCATAATTTGTAGGAAATTGTACTGGTGGACTCAGAATCACCACATGAAACAACTGTCCTAAAGAAATTTTTGAAAATTCTCGCTGGAAAGTGCTCCACGCACCGGTGCGTGTGTTAGATGCGCTCGCTGGAACCCTAGTTCTAGAGGCGCGTGAGGGACATTTGCCAGAGCGATTGACTTGGGTTTTGTCGCTTGACTTTTCCGAACAAGATGGTAGTGTTGGTTTTCGCACAACACTCCGATGAGGAGATAACACAAATCAATCTTGAGTCGTCAACCGGAAAGACGCACAATGACTGACTTTTCTGTTCCGATGGGACTGGGATTTGGTCGCACAGGGGTTTCGAATCTGATGGTGGTACTAGTATATGCACAGTACCACTATAGCAGTGATGAACCCTGAGAACAAGACGAAGTTGCCGAAAAATTGCACAGTAATGAGATCTTTCTTCCTGGATGTCGACGGAATGACGTACAATACTAATTTTCTCACTGAAGCTCTGATACCATGTGAGAATGCACGAGAGAAAAGTCTATTTGTTAACAATGATACAATGAGCCCTATATATAATGCATATTCTACTCCTACTACATATGGGACTAGGACATATTCTACTCCTACTACATATGGGACTAGGACATATTCTACTCCTACTACATATGGACAAAGACACATTCTACTCCTACTACATATGGGACTAGGACACATTCTACTACTACATATGGGACTAGGACACATTCTACTCTTACTACATATGTGACTAGGACTATTTACACATAACTATCTAACACTTCCTAAACACAACTTTACCATTTGTGCTGTCTTGGTCCACGTTGAGCCGGTCTCTTCATTTTATTTTGGTGGCAGAAATGTTAAGTTGTCCATGGATGCATAGGATAATTCTTGACAAGATGTTTACCTTTAACCACACTTATCATAAAAGATATTTACCTTTAACCCAATCTCTTTTGAATTTAAACACAAATTCCCTACAGATATATAGTCTCTGGTCAATACGTTGCTGAAATACTAGTGCATGGATTATGGAACCACTCTGTTGCTTAGTGTCTTGATAATGATATTCAGGAGATTTTGTTTCAATTCTATCACATTCAAGGAGTAGAGATAGAGATTGCAGCCTACTTTATGGAAGATATTTACTATGAGTTGGGAAAATCTGGGGCATAAATTTCTCTAATCTCCTCGATGGGAATGGTGTTCAAGCAAGTTCCTTTGAGTGTTGCAGAAGTCCTTAGTTGTGACACTTGAACTTTTTCAACAAATGAATCGTTTGCATTTCCTTTTTTAGGAATTGTAAAAGATTCATGCCCCAATTTTATTTTTGGTTCTGTCGGTGGGTTTCCTGTGCATTATATTGTTGAGGTGTCATCTCAAAAACGTGGCCTAGTTTAATACAAAGGTTACAAGCTAGAATTTTGAGAAATTAAAACCACTTTAATGTACTCTATGTTGCAGTCTTAATAAAACTACTTTAATCTAATTGTTGCTGCAGCCTTCTGCTCGTACTAGGAGATCAAATAGTCCAGGGAATGATTCTACATTTGAAGGTGTTCTGAAGTGCTTCTCAAACAGCAGCAGCACAAAGAATATCATCAAAAAAATTGGAGCTGATGTTGCTCAGCTGCTTCTAGGACATGCCTTTTTGGTGATTATTCTTACTAGCAAACAAATTCGTTTAATATCCAATTTTGATTCCTAGAATAGTTCTTTCACTTGCAGAATTTCCAGAAGATGTTGCTGCAAAAGGGCTTTGAGTTTAGTTATAGATAATCATTTTGTTCTATTCTGACCAGGATAAGTATTTCATTCTCTTATAGGCATACTTGTCAGTATCAGTGGAATCTTCTGCTGAATATGTTGATGACTCCGAAGAGGTAGTGAAAGGAAGCTCTCTCCCTGAAATCTGCAAGCACATAATAGCCGCTTTTACTTCTATCAGAAAAGAAGACAAGTAAGATTTACTTGATGTGTGTTGATTGGTTGCTCTCACCTGCTGATAAATATGCTTAATTTCTTCAAAGATTTTCGATCACCTTCGCATATTATTTTTGAACTAGCCATTGCACAAACTTCGTAATGAATTAGGCTCCTACTGGCTTTTGGATTCCCCTAATATTTGGGTAGATATGAAGATCATTAGAATCTGCAACATGACAATGAAGTAGTATATTGTCTTTTTTCCGTGGATTTTGTATGTATCATGTTCCTATTAGAGTTTAGCTTAAACACGTTACCCGAGTTACGCAGTTCCATATAGAAGCTAAACTGGATGAGGTAAAAACCTATTCGGAAATAAGATCAGAAGGCCACATTTGGTCCAGATAATTATGATTAGAATGCCTACCTTTGATTTGGATTAGTGCTATAGTTGTTAGAAAAGCAACTGGACGAACTGACGTCCACTAAGAAATTAGATTTCCTAGTATATTTAATAATTTTTTAGAGCTAGAAAAGAAAATGATTAAAAAAGCAGCACAAGAGGGTTACAGGGCTGATCTGTCAGCTATTCCTTCTGTATCTTCTGACAAAGTATTGAGAAATCCATTTTCGCCAGCAAGTGTGTTCGAGTCAGGATTTTCTCTCCTTATTTAGAATGCAACTTTTATTGATGCCTAAACACATGATATACTAATGTGGTAATAAACTGTTGAAGCAATTTCGTCCTTTCTTTATAAAAGCTTTTCTAGTGTCTATCTGCATCAGTTAATAAAGCTTTTCTAGCGTCTAGCTCTGCATCAGTTAATAAGTTGGCATATGATGCAGGAACTCAGAAATTCTTTCTTTTGGTAAAGAGGCGGTGTTTATAGCAGCAACCATTCTCTCAACTAAGTCATAGGAGAAACGGCAGTTAATATTTGTTGCTGGTAATGTATATTTAGTTCAAAGGGACGCCAGTGGCAACCTCCTATCTCTTGAAGTCGGTCAGGTGATGCTTCGCACACAACGGATCAGGGTAAAAAAAGATTTGGTCAAGGAACATATGTGGTTAGGTGACAGCATATTAATTTTGAACTATTGTATTCTATATCTGCTGGTTGGTCTGATTAAGGTATTACATAGTAGAAGGAACTGATGGAGGCACTCTTTTGTAGCTTAAGGAAACCTAAAAAGGGTAACACTGTTTAAGGAAATTGTCGAATGAATGTCCATAGCTCTAAACTACGCAATATGCATTAGTGAAAAAACTGGGACACTCTAATGTTGTTAAATCCTATCCAATGATAGTCATGAAAATACAAACAAAAAAACAAAATTGGACACCAACGACGCATCTATACTGATGAAATAGTTGAAGCGTCACGGGCTGATGAGAGGTGGGCGACGTGCTCTGTTAGGCAATTTGCGGGATGTTCTTCAATTATTTTGGTGCGATGTATTATCCAATGAGGGTTCCAGCTATTTCAACAAGCGATAACAACCATAAACTGAAGGTTCATATCCATGACACTTAAATCCAAATGAAAGAGTTTGGAGCATAGTCATGTGCGAATAATAAAATTCCACCTGGGTAACTTTACATTTCTTCTTGTTAAGATAGGGGGGGAAAATTGTTCTTTTCCCCCTTTTTGACTCCTTTCGAGATTTCAGGTTACAAAAATTTTATGAATGAATAACCCAACACTTGTTGGCTTTCAGAATGTGAGATTTATCATCCAAACTGCTACCAAAGCGCATAGGAATCACTTCATCAATTGTTTCATGCCTCATTTTGACGGTTGTGCTGAATCAAGATGCATCGTGACAGGACCATCATTAACCAAGTTAACCTACCAAATTAAACAAATACACAAGTCTGAGCACAGCTGCCCAGTTCAACAGAAATTTAAAGCTAAAGTCATACAGTAATATTTTCATGGAATCTAACCTTCATCATTGCTCCAAAGATACCATCTGCAATAAAACACAAAAAGAAACAAAAAATAATATAGATGGGCACCTCGTATATAGCATCAGAGCCAGTCAATTTTTTTGACCGTTGCAGAGAGAACAATAACTTCATTGCACATACACAAGAAGCCAGAAAACCATCTCAAGAGAACAGTGATACCAGTGAATTAATTTTTTGCTTACAGAGACTAGAGTATCTTCAAGAATTGGAGTTTTCAAATGAAAGCAGATAATTGTTCAGCTTTAAGATCTATGAAGCGGATCTATTCATGTGATGTTTTTCAACACCAAGCAAATATAAGAGCCTCAACAATGATATAGTTGACATGGAAACACCACAGATGCAAACCAACAGCCTTATTCGGTGAGTAGTTATCAGATGTCATTACTATGACTGCATGGATGATGTAGAACTCAACAAGTGAAACACTTCAAAAACATAGCAGAGCATCTTACAATGGCTGGTGAAGTTTGGTCTTATATTCCAGATGTAATGATGTAAATATTCTAGTCTGAGGAAATTATTCTTTAATGCTTTTTCTCACAGCAGGGGCTGCCTACTAAATCACGCCATTACGGATCAAAACATATTTAAAAAATTGCACCCAAAATTTCTTTAGTTTAAGGGAAATTCTGCACTAAATTTCTGCTACCTCCTTTCTACAGCTGAAATTGCCAGAGGAGAGTTAAGGAAAATAGAAAACATTAGCATTCCGTATTAGAACCTTGAAGGATAAGTTGTCAACATGTATAGTCTGCAAATGGAGTAAAGATAAGCAAATAATCCACATCGGGGGTGATGAGTGCCCCCAGTAAGCAAAATAGTTGTGCTGACAGCCTGAAACGGATACTAACTTGTTATGAAGGTATGATAGGAGTTCAGTCAAGAACGTAGAAGCCCATCAGCAATAAAACAAGAGAGACAGAGAGAGATGTCCACTTTTGTATTGCCATGGGACTATCGATCAATAACAAAAAAGGTGATCAAAACTGAGAATTTACTGAAAAGAAAATTATTCACCTTTGACTGCATCCTGTTTGTAAGCTTTCTGGAATTTCTCAACCAAAGAGGCATAGAAGGGTTTCGCTTTCTCAGGAGGCATTGCAACGTGAAAATCCGGCTTGTTTCCCTTCAGAACCCCATACAGTGTAAACTGACTCACTGCATCATCCGGTAGTATTAGATATACAAGTATATTGTTATACACCCTGATCAAAATTTAACTTATTTTCCAATCATTGTGATAATCAAAGCATCATCTTTAAAGTCATTTTACATTATTTTCCTCGTCATAGAAACTTTCAAAGCGTCATTGTTAAGACTTTGACCATTGTGACAACTTGTAAAGAAAAGCAGTTACCTAACAGAATTTCATAACTCTTCTGAACTACCTGCCAATGGAGAATAGAAGCCAATAAACTTAATACTGAAGCAATGACGTTAAAGTAAGTGACAATTTGAACAGTAAATAATACAGTTCTCTTTTTCTAAATGTTCAAGCCATGCAACATTGCCATCATTTATCTTGCATCAGAATATCTGATATTGGAGATATGAAATGGAATAAAGATATTCTATACACCTTATAAATCCCCAAACCAATAACCAATATGGTAAACTATCCAAATTAGTCTTGGTTACAAGAGTTTAAACACCAAACTAGTTGGGGTTGGTGATACGAATCCTCTGTATATATATTCTGCTCCTTCTTTTCTTGTAAAAAATTGGAAATGGTATACTCTTGTGACATAGCGAATGAACTCTTCTGTGCCAATGCTTATCGGTGGTAAATTTCTAAGATTCAACTAGCTTAGAAGGTCAATTTTTTAAAAGAAAAAAACACTTACACAAGCAAAAAAATTCGACTTCAAATCAGACAGTCAGTTAGTAATTGGAAACCACACATATTTTATCAGGCGTGAAATAAATATGCAATACCATCATATAGCAATAGAAGGTCATAATTAAGGTGTTCACTCTACAACGAGAAGCTTCGTAACTACATGGACAGAACAAATAAATGAATTGATCAAAACATATAAACTGTTCCATTGGTTTCAAGTTATATAACACTCATTTCAGTGACATGCTGCTAAACATTTGATATCACTTCATTGAACTTTTACAACTTGCAAGAGTTCAAGTTCATTTAACTATTCAAGAGTGAAATTTTGACATGAATATTTCCCTATCAAATTGACTATTCAACCATTACTTATGTATTCTTCTTCTTCAATTATCATATAATGCACAAGTCAAAATAACATTTTAAACTCCGTGCCCCATCAAACAACGCCATACAAAATGAAACAGAGGGAGTAAGTGTTGTAAATATTAATGAACCAGCCCAACAGAGAGGTGAAATGGAGAGAAAATTACACTGTGATCCCATGTCTTTCCAGTTTCCTCATTTGGGAACAGTCTCATGTTCAACACTTTCCGACATCTGCAAATTTACAAACATTAACAGAACCGAGAAAACAAAACAAAACAAAGGAAAATATAAATTCGCTTCAGTATATATTTCCTACTATGAAGTATTTCAGAGTACCAACTTTTTACTGTCACAATTAGCTTACATGTAGTCAGCATCGGAGTCAACGTCAGATTCATGAAGCCCGACCAGAACCAGCAAGCCCGGCCCGATTGCTGATACAATACGCCCTTCTACCTGCAAAATTGCTATTATGCGCTAGGTGAGCAGTGAGCACCATTATTCCTAGCTATATAAATTGAAAAAAAAAATCAAGGGTTCACCTCTACACTGGCTGAAGCAACACGCTGAACTACAGCCCTCATATTGGATCTCCCTCGCCGGCGACAAGCTAGGCGTCCGATTACGGCGCAATATTCGGGTTGTTTGAGTTTTCGTTCTTATATTAGTTCAAATTTATGGGTTTAGGAGGAAGGCGGAAAATGGTTTTGACATTTTGACTTTCACTAACCAATGCGGATATACTATTTGGTTGCCAAGAAAAGAAAATTAAATATAATAGAAAGTTTACTATTTTTATTTTTATTTTTTTGTGCGACAAGAAAATTGTAACAAAAAAATAACTCAATTTTATCTATATATCACGAAAATTATTAATTTATCTTTGTGACAAAAAAGTCTTTCTAACTTTGCCTAATTGTTAACTTTTCTCCTAATAACTTTCTATGGTATTTAAGTATACATGAGTGTTTTTTTAGTTACAAAAATAATTTAGGGATTTTTGCGACCAAAAATGATTTAGCAACTTTAATGCAATAGCATAAAAATTGAGTGATCGTCCATAAAATTAACCTAATCTTTTGTCATACTAATACAAGGATCAAATTGGGGAACCCATTCTAAATGTATCAATCTATCTATATCTATATCTATATCTATTTATTTATATTATATTAAAAGCACGAAGGCTCTTAGCGAAATGTCGTTCGCCTTTTTTACCCTTTAAAAACAGATTTTACGCTGGACAAAATAGTAATTTAAGTTATTTTCCTAATATTTTGAACTTTAAAGTTAGCTAAAATTTAGTAATCAAAATCCTTCCTTATTTAAATTATATAAAAATCTTAATAGTTAAAAATTTAAACTCAAATCAAAGTTTACTTATATAGACTACTAACGAAAGCTAGGATGACAAAGACAAAAAGCATTACGCGTTGGAACAAGTACAATTTTATTCTACAAGCGCTGTAAAAATTAAAAATTATACATATACAGCCACTGTTACGTAATTATAATAGTGTATAAAATGTATTTATACACTCATATACACTATTATACGTAATTATACAAAAAACTAACTTCGTCTTCTTCTTTTGCGTCTTTTCTGAAATTTAACTCAAATCTTGCTCAAATCTACTCTAAATCACTTCAAATTTAAATTTTGAACTCCTTTTGATATTATCAATGAATTGGAATAACACCCAATCCAAACAACTAACAAACTCAAAAAAACTTATTTTCGAAAGCAAAGCTTTGGATGATCTTCAATGATGGACTTATACTTTTCAATTTTTCTTACATGGCAACCAGGTGACACAAGAGGAGAAACAGAAAATATACGGCCCCTTGAAGCATATGTAGAAGATGTGAGAAGAAGAAGAGTGAAAGCAATGGTTGTGAGAACACAAATTTAACTCCATAGCTTTTATAAGCAATGGTTATAAGAACACAAATTTTGAATTTGCTAGTGCTTTCAAAATATGTACAATAAGGGTTAAGTTGGGTAAAACTTAAAAACATGAGCCATATTTTGTTATGGGGTGAAGTCATGTGTATTTTCTTATAATTCTTTGAACTATTAGAAATATTTATTTAGTACTTTAAATAAATTAAATTTTAATTGCCTTATATAATTATTTTCTTATTTGAACGATGCAACATAATTATAATCTCTTTTAAGTTATAATTAAATATTTAAAACTTGGAATCAACAAAAAATAAATTTGTTAATGTTAAAACCAAATAATTAAGTCTAAAAATCCAATTCAACTATTTATCAAATTTATCATATAAATAAATTATTTTTCAAGTTGGACAAAACTCTTAGGATGCCTAAATTGGTTTTCATAATAATAGTATTGGCGGTGAATGAAAATTTAAAAAATAAAAAAATTAACATGGAAGGTTTTATAGATAAGCCTTTTAACTAAATTATATATATATATATATATATATATAT